GGGAGTAGGGTTTAAGATTTAGGGTTTAAGGGTAAGGGTTTAGGGTCTAGGGTTTAGGGTTTAGGGTTTAGGATTTAGGGTTTAGGGTTTAGTGTTTAGGTTTAGGGCCCAGTTGGGTTCAAGTCCGCGTCAAGGCTCAAGATTGGTAGGCCTCACATGTAGATGTTACACGGTTTGCAGTCAGATTACAGAAGATCCGTTGGTACTACTGCCATGTAGTCAACTTCTCGCAGTACGATACAGCAATTGTGCCGCACATGCTAAAGTCCGAACTCACGCCTGTCTGCCAAGTGCAGAAGCATAAACATCTCTACTCGTGCGTCCCTGCCGTATGAGAAGGCCTAGGCCTAGTAAAGTCTTATCCCCCTGCAACGCACACTCAGATCAAACCCTAGTTCCCGAACCCTCAACTGACAAAGTGCCTTTGCAACACTTTAGCCCCAAACCCAAAACCCTACATCCTACATCCTAAACCCTACACCCGAAACCCTAAATCCTGAACCCGAAACCCTAAATCCTAAACCCTAAACCCTAAATCCTAAACCCTATACCCTACAATGCCGGAGGATCTCTGCAAGACCACCATCGTGGGCCTCGGATGGCTCGTGATCTTCCAGGCGCGGATTCTTCTGGGCTGTGGGCCCCGGGGTAATGTGGGGACCTTAATTAATAATTACCTATACTATGTTGTTTTTTTTTGGGGTTCTTAATACTATTTTGGGGGTTTCTTCTTATTATTATAATATTTAGAATACACTATTTTGGGGGGTTTCTTATTATGATTACTGTACAATATACCCCAAGACCCTATTCTGATTATTAAGGCCCCTATGTTAGTTGATATCGTTTGAGAGTTTGGCGTTTAGAGCTCTACCAGGGTTCTGTAAACTGTAAGGGTGGAGGGGGTTGCTAAGGTTCTACTCGTGTTTGGGATTTTGGGTTCAAGGGTTTGGGTTTCATTCAGGGCGTTTTTCCAGGGTTCAGGCGATAGGGATACCATGATGTCCATGCTCGGGCTGTTGTGTTTGGGCTTTCGGCTTCAGCGTTAGGTTGAGGTTCAGGGTTTCGGTTTAGGATTCAGGGTTCTGCGTTTACGAACATCTACCATTACTATGTTTGTGCTTCTCAGTAGTGTCGCTGCTGTTGGAGAAGACCCAAATTCGTTGTCATGATGAGTTTTCTTACACAGCCGGTACTTGCAAGTCGGTGCCCGTGCCTTGAAATACATAACACAAGGATTCTGCAATGCCTCGTCTGTAGTATGTGCCCGCATTTTCTGCAGTTCCCCATTCTCTGATCATGGCTGTAGGGATGCAGCGTTTTGGGTGTGAGGGGTTTCGGGTTCATTTTGCAGAGTTGTTGCAGGCTTTAGGGTTTAGTTTAGGCTCGAAGGGTTAATATAGGAGGGTCAATAATTACCTATACTATTTTGGGGGTTCCTGATTATACGCGGGTGTTAATTATACGTATGGTATTATCTGCCCCAAAACCCTATTCAATTATTAAGGCTCCTACATTAAGCAGTTTGGGTGTAGGGTTTCGAGATTTAGGGTTTAGGGTTTAGGGATTAAGGTTTCAACATTTAGGAGTTTGCGCGTTGAGGGCTCACGGGTTCACAGACTGAGGGGCTTTTTTGGGCTCTGCGCCATGGTTGGTTTGTAACCTCCGTGCATGTCAATGGGGTTCTCGTTCAACAATATGGGAGTTTCCGAAAATAAGGGGTACCTTATTATGGGGTTCTTACAATCAGGTTCCTACTATTTTAGGGTACTACATTGGGGTCCCTATTTTCGGAAACCCCTATACGGAACCTTTCTTTTTGTCCGACCCCCTTCACAGAAGATGTCGTATTCCTACGGGAGTGGGGCTGTAAGTGTCTGGAAGGGGTGGTTGTCAACTGCTCCCCATCAAGTCGGGAGAAACCGGGAATTGGGAGAAGTGTGCAGGCTTCCAACTACCTCAGAAAGAGGAGTACAAACCATTAGCAACCCTAAACCCTAAACCCTAAACCCTAAACCCTAAACCCTAAACCCTAAACCCTAAACTATAAACCCTAAACACTACCCCAAAACCCTAAACTCAACCATTAGCAACCCGGGGAGCTTACACTCGAAACCCTAAGCTGCACACGCACACTCCTCGGAAACTCCAAGTCCTAAACCATAACCCTTAGCATCATCATAGCCCAAAAGCCTTCTATAATAGGGTCTTTGGGCCCAAAAGCCTTAAAATATGAGTCCTTTGATGGTAAGGGTAAACGTCTGTTTTTTGGGGCGACCTGCCTCAGGAATACACCTTTCATTAAGAAGCAGTTCAGTACGATTCTGAAACCCTAAACCCTAAACCCTAAACTCTAAACCCCTAAAGCCCTGCAGCTTTCCAAGGTCGTCGTGGGCCTGCTGCTACTGCCCATGCTCGTCTGTGCCCGCATTCCCAGCTTTGGGGCGGTCCTCGGGTTTAGGGTTAGGGTTTAGGGTTCAGGGTTTAGGGTTTAGGGGCTGAGCTTAAGAGGTTGTTGGCATTGAAGTTTGGGGGGTTGAAGGTTTTACAGCAATTTGGTTGATTTTGGGGAATGATGTATCTAGTTTTCGGTTGAGGGGTTTGGAATTTTGTGCTTAGGATTTAGTCAGTTTGTCCCTAAACCCGAAAGCCCAAAAAGGAGCCCTGTTTTCTAAGCCGTCCTCAGGTAGATAGGAACTAGGTCTCCAGCTGCTGAGCACCCCCTCAAACTGAAAGGGACACCTTATTTTGGGGTCCTTATAGTAAGGATCCTACTATTTAAAGTACTATATTAGGGTCCCCTAGAAGGCGTGACCTTTTTGGGGGTTCGGCTTCGGGTTTAGGGTGTGCTGTCAGTTTGAACAGTAGTTTCAATGGTGCACCAAGCTCTCCTGAACGAAGATGGCCACGTATGCAACTCACGTATTTGCTTTTACGACTCTGCCTCGCCTTATGGGTCTGCTTCCCTTAAACCCTAAACCCTAAACCCTAAACCCTAAACCCTAAACCCTAAATCCTAAACCCTAAACCCTAAACCCTAAACCCTAAACCCTAAATCCTAAATCCTAAATCCCAAACCGGTCCAAGCTCCCGTGCTCGAATCCTGCAGAGCCCTCTAGCAATCAGGGTTGCGCCTTGGGTTTAGGGTTACGGTTTAGGGTTTAGGGTTTAAGGTTTAGGGTTTAGGGTTTAAGGTTTAGGGTTTAGGGTTTAGGGTTTAGGGTTTAGGGTTTAGGGTTTAGGGTTTAGGGTTACGGTTTAAGG